TTTTCGTGGAATCCGTAGTGTCTTCGCGATGTCTCTACGGTGGCTCCGGGACGGCTTCGCAGTGTCTCTAGGGCGTCTGCTGGGTCCCTCCTGGGTGTCTCCCGGTTGCCTCCCGGGTGTCTTCCGGTTGCCTTGGCAGTAGCTCCCTACCGTCTCGGGTGTGGCCCCTGGCTGGCTTCGCATCGGCTTTTGGATGTCTAAATTCGACTCTTAATTAGACACTTTTTAGACATCCCCGATGTCTCGAGCGCGTATTGGACGTGTCTTTAGCGAGTCTTTGCTTTCCCTGTGCACTGTCTGTTTGTTGTCTATTTCTGAGACATTCTAGAGACACTCTGAAGCCGCTTTTTTTTGTACGGGTGGCCCCCCCTGCCCCTCCCTCCGCCCCTTCCTTTCCCTTCCCATATTCCCCTCTAATGATTCATGAACGACACATGGTGCGTCTTCCTGCAGTCACGGGGGTGCCTGCTATCACAGGTGCAGACGCGCGGCGCGGCACTTCTTATTGCTTTCTATTTCTTCTACGTGCTTCTACGTGCCGATGGGGGTAGGGGGTGGACACTAGAGGGCATTCTTTGTAACCTATGATGGTATTCTATGCACCTAAAGGGGTATTTATTTATACTTTCCTAAGTTAGTTCTTGTTTCGGCTCGAGGTACTGACGTAACACCCCATAGAAAGAGTATCTATCCCCCATAGTGCTTTATGAGCGTCGCCTGATCTTTTGCTTCCTCTTTGTTTCAGATCCTCGCCGTGGGGCCTCCCTGGTTATTTCGGGCGGCCGCGCCGCTCCCCTCGGCTCCTCTATCCACTGCGCTATCTGCCCTTCCATCCTCCACTGGGGCCCCTTTGCTTTGTGAAGCGCATCTTCGCGGAAGGGGAACGCGCATCATGGGGCCAATACAGTGTGTGCTGTCGAAAGCGTTTCGTGATTATTATTATTGCTGTAACTATAATTATTTTATAATTACCAACTTGCAGTCAGTGCAAAACCTTTGTTTTTAATAAAGTGTACAAACGACGAGAGAGATATATTTTGTTGTATTATATTACGTTTGTAAAGAAATTATATAAGTATTGTTAATTTTACTGTTTTCGATACATTCTCTGGTGACGTAGGTGATAGTGGTGGAGAAACAGAAGAGAAATTCATTTGAACTTGTTGTGAACTTGTAGTGACTTGTTTTGACAAGTGCTTTAATGAGTATGGGCTGGCTTATGGTGCTACATAGTAATTTTGCGATCCTGACCTTAGAGTGCTGTGGGAAGGAGCAAGCTGTTTTGTGATATTTGACTTGTATGTACAAAGTTTCCGGTCCATGGTCCATCAAATTTAACTATAATGATTACGCTCGATCAAATCTGAGAAGATGCACTTTGCCCTCCCATGTAGAATTATTATACGCTCTGTGATTGTTAAACTTTGAGTACTATTGACAATGATGTTTTTTTTTTGCTCCAATAATATCAGACCTGTGTGATACAAATGTCTATTTTTTATAGGTGAAAGATCTTGGGCACGTCTTTATGTCCGTTTCAGTCCGTGTACATTCCTTGATGAGATTGTACATTCTTGAATAATTAAAAATAAAAAATTACTTTATTTACAAAAGAACCGATTGTTCACTTTTTTGGTTTACACGCGACCCCAATTTCGCCAGCGTCCTGTTTTTGTTTTTTACAGCGTTTTCCTCGTCTCGCTCGCGATCTGTATCGAGGCGTTTTGGCTTTAGCTCCGAGCGATTAGCAGAGAACACTGGTCCACTGTCCGCGGTCCTTCGAGCAGGGCAGGGCGGGGCGGGGGTCGGGGTGGAGCGGAGGAGGAGTCGCGATTCCATTTCACGATAGACCATATATTCCCGAGAACGCCGTGGCCCGCCGGACGGACGGAGGCTGACATTCCGCAACAAATGTTGCAAAGCAGAGTCAGAGTCTATTTCAACAGCACTGATAAATAAAGTGTTCAACTGGCGTGCACACGCAAGTGCTGAAAACTATGTTGCACATTTTTAAGTGTTTGACTGGACATTTTAAAACTTTGCAGTGTTAACACTGCTACTGTTGAATTCAACAGTAGGCTTAATTTGAACACTTTTAAATTACCAAAGGCTCATTGCCACCCTGGTGTTTAACACTTTATTTAACAGTGCGTACAATAGATAATTATGTAGTACGTTGTAACCCGTAACTTTGTGACAGTTTGGTGAGCAACGCAATTATTGTATGTAATATAAAATTTATAACGAGTGGAGTTGAAAATTTTCGAAAACTTCTCGGTGAACATAATCTGTTGAAAATAAAAAACGTTTATCCGTACTTTACTTTTCCAATATAACCAGACCAATAGTAACTGAACTGTCGATACTTCGCACCACGCTGCTGATAAGCAGGAGGAGGAAGACCTCCTTTATAGTGAAGGAAGTGCAGCGGCAGCCGGGCGTCAGTATCCGCACTTCAACTTCAAATAGGCCGCCCTTGTGCATAAAACGTCCCTACCCCACACGGCCGCACAACATGTCACGAGCCGCTGCCCCCCAAGAGAGGGGAAAGACGCGCACTTCCGTCACAGGGGCACTCGTCGTTCCGGAAAGGAGGAAGGGAAGATACGCCCTTGCCCAGCCACGCCAGCCGGAGGCGGAGCGTAGCGGAGCGCTGTGGCGGACCAGCCTCGTTGTGCCGCAGGTCGCCATTTGTTTCGCGGGGTCAGACCCTGGGGGCAACGCGCACCGCGCCGCAGCGGCACTGGAAAGCGCTGGAAAGAGTCTGCGCGGCTCGAGAGAGGCATAAAGAACGCGGAAAAACTAACAGGACGGTGAAAAATATTTTTGTTTTCTTTTCTTTTCAGGTAATTCACCACTTACAAACGATGAACACAGTTAATGCACTAAAAATGCAAGTGTGTGAATGTCGCTCACCTGCAGGTGAGCGACATTCACACACTTGCATTTCCAGTGTGGTAAATTTTCCGCACGCCAGTTTGGCTCGTCGAGAAATCCCAAATCGATAGGGTAGTGTCAAGAATTTCAAACTTTTCCTTTTGGAAAAACTTATTACTCACACAAGTGGAAAATTTTCCAATGTTTTTGCCACGTTGAATAAAAAGGTGGAGGGTGGGGGTGGAGAGCGGGACAGAAGGGACCGCGAGAAGGAAACGGCAAGGTGGAGAGGAGAGCGTGGGGGGAATGGAGATCCGCAAGAGCGGGGGCCAGCGCCAGCGGGCCGGCGCGCACACGCGAAACAGAGCCGCGACCCTCCGAGCCACGCCCCGCGGCCCGGAGGGCAATCGCTCATCGCCCTGGAGAGTAAACATGGGCTTGTTTGAGAAACAACGTTTGTCACCGCTGCTCAGCCCAGGGCGACGTGTCCCCGTCAAACACAGTGTCGCGGCCCTGAGGCCCTCGTCGAGGCCCTCGCCAAGGCCCCAGCTAGGAGAGGTCGCATAGTCTGAGTTTGTCTACGGGTGGGGCAGGTTCATCATCAGACCGAAAGGGTTTCTCCGGAACCGAACCGTCGCGGACGTGCCACGGGGCGTCGTTCGCCGCGGGCAGGCACCGCGACGGAGTCACCGAGACTCTACGACGCGCACGTGCACCTCGACAAGCCTTCCCTTCTCCCAGGGCGCAGCTTGGAGGGGGCGGCACCCGGGCACCCGCAACCACCACTACATCCTCCTCCTCCTCCTCCAGCCACGTCCGCGCGACCGGGCTGCCCGTCACCGGAGACGTGCCCTACAAATGGGCCCACGGCGCCGCCCCGGACGCGCCCGGCAGGCAGGCAGCCCATTTGACACCGTGACAGCGACAGCGGCCCCCCGCCCGGGCGGCGAGGTGCGGGGGGCGGCAGGGGCGGTCAGTGCTGCACTCTGGCGGCGGGGGCGGCGGCACGCAGCTGGCAGCCAGAGGCTTGAGACAGGGGGTATCGTCGGGGGCGGCGGTGGCGGCGGGGGCGGGCCGGACATGCCAGAGCATCCCGTCCCCTGTGCGGTGCTAAGCGACCGTGTGGCGGCCGCGCCTGACAGGTCCTGGAGCCGCTCCCCGTAGTGCCCTTCCTTCTACCCGAGCACGGGCGACGCCTGCGGCAGCGACGGCGGGACGGGAGTCGCCCCCCCCCCCCTGGGCCCTTCCACCCCCGCAACGCCCAGGACGGCGCCCGGGCGCCCACGCGCTCAGATCCGCAACCCGACCCCGCTTCATACGGTTCCGTCGCCGCCGCCGCCTCCTGACATCTTGAAAACCACGAACACGACACCGTAAAACATAATCAATAGTTCAACATTTTACTTCAACCTTTCATAGTTTGAGTATACACTCCACGGTGAACACAAGGAGCGTCAGCGTCAATCACTCCGTTTATTAGCCCACAGTTGGAGGTCTCGTCGCGGGAAGTACGTGGAACGCCAGGAAGCAGGGGGCTACGTGGTCCAGGACCAGGCCTGGACTGGACAGGGGTGGGCAGGGGTGGGCAGGGGTGGGCAGGGGTAGGTGCGCCCGCCGCCGCCGGCACCCCCCACCCTCCCTCAGCGCGCTGCAGCGCCGCAGAAGGGCAGGGGGGAGGGAGAGAGTTTTTCGCTCGGCATTGAGAGAAAGTGTTTTAATTGGTGCCATTCATCACGCTGCTGGTGGTGTCGCCGGCGGCCTATTTTATCCCCCATCCCCCTCCTCCCAACCGACCCATCGCACCGCACCCTCTCTCTCTCTCTCTCTCTCTCTCTCTCTCTCTCTCTCGCCCGGGTGCGCCCCCGCCACACACACACACACACACCGGTGGCCCTTATCGCGGGGCTTCGTGGTCGGCAATAAATCGGCATGGCTGTCCCGCCAAACCAAAGTTATTTAGAAATTGTTTGCTTCCGGCGAGCGGCTCATTGCGGCGAACTGCGGCCGCGGCGCGCGCGCTGACTCTATTCTCATGGCGACAGCGCCACGACAGCGAAAGAGGGAGGGAGAGCGAGAGAGCAATACAGCGAGCGAGCAAGAGAGCAAGCAAGGGTGCGAGAAAGAGAGAGAGGGATAAAAAGAGAGAGGAACAGAAAGAGGGAGGTAGAGGAAGAGGAAGAGAAAGGAAGAGAGAGGGAGAGAGAGGGAGAGAGAGCGCAAGCAAGAGAGAAAGCGGGAGCGAGCGAGGAAGAGCGAGAGAGAGCGATAGGGAGGGTAAGTAGGGAGGGTGAGTGCTGGGATAGTGACAGGGATAAAGATGAGAAAGAAAGAACGTGGGTGGATTGAAAGAGAGAGTTAGGGAGTGAGGTGAGAGGGCTGACGAGGAGCGGAGAAAAGAGCGGACATGCGCGAATATTGATCTCTCCCATTCTGCTCTGCAGTCCCGCTGCCGCTGCTGGCTCGCTGGCTGCCGAGCGGCACGGCGGCGCACGATGCCACTGACGG